GCAAATTATTTTTATTTTTTCAATTTATCTTATTCGGTCCGTTATCGAGCTCTCTTGTGCAGATTCCACTACTTGTAGCTTTCAAATCCTTTCCTCGAATTCGTTGCCCCAGAAGTCTTCGAACATTTCTCGTGTTGTTTCGATTGCTGCTCAAGGAATTGATCTTCTTCTTGAATGCCTTAAAAAACTGGTCAAGTAGATCTCCATGTAATATTGTGAATAGCTGGACTATTTCTTTACCAGATTTTTGCAAGAAAAAGGGTCAAACCACGACACTGCTTTCTGAATATTTGCTTCACTGACTAACCAATCACCTTCTCCCTTAACTTGAATTCTCCTATATAAATCTGAATTTCCTACAGCTAGCATTCATATTCTATCACTCGTGCTAAATGATTGCAGTAGGATTACGCCCTATGGTGCAACCCATCAGAGAAAATAGAGACGCAGACTCAGCGCTATTTTTGGGTGAATAGAGCTTGTTCAGTACAAGTTTTGAGTCCTTTGACAGGAGGCATCTAGCGCTTAGTTATGTCTTCTCTTGTTGGCCAATGATTTTTGTTGACAATATTTTTGTCCCACGCGATTTGTCTTGTTTCTCCAAAACTCCAATAAGTGCTATTTTCCAGCTATGGCTTAATCGAGTCTTTTCATGAAACAGTTAGTGCTCAAATCTACCACAGAATATTGGCACTATGGAGTTCTCAGAACGACACCTCTTCTTGATTGTAAGGATACGGTCAATTTCTACATGAATCATCCCATATAAAGACTCCTTTGTCAATCGGCAACTTCTTCCTTCCTAAGCAGAGGACTTCCAAGGAACATTAGTGCTGCGAGGAAGAGCTCGACAAAACGGCTTCTACCCTCATTTGCTTTTCAATTTTCAAATCTTGCTCCTTGCATTTATTTTACTTGAACTCTCCTGATCTAGCGTGAAGATGCCAGCAGCGAATTTGTGAGAAGGCTTTTCGTTGCGGACTACTTCCTCCAAGTGGTTGTAGAATGCGTTTAGTTGACTTCATTAGCACTTTAGTTTATTATTAGCAGTTGGTGAGAGATAGTTAAGCAAGGTGATGAGATTTCGTTTGAGGTAAATATATAGGAAGTTGATAGGATAAAGGCAAAACCAGCGCCTTCAAAACTTTCTAACGGAAATCTTTCACCATGAACGCCAAAAACCTCGTCATCCATTTAGCACGTTTCTATCTTACTGAATTTCCTCTTTTGTATCACGATCAAATTGAAATTGAATGCAAACAGAGACTCCAAGAAGAGCGTCAAGATCGGCGACTGACAAGGCTACTCTTGTTTTGTCTAGTAAAGCACGAAGCAATCACTATGGAATGTCGAAAAAGTGTTGGTGTGGTCAGTGATAAAAACCAAGAAAAAATTATTTTTTGCGATAATTGCCTCCTGTGATTTATTTCTAATTCAACTTTTCTGACTTCACTATTTCATAAACCGAATAAAGACAAGCTCCATGGAGAGAAATTTCGTCATGATTTGCTTAGGGAATTTTGTGGAGCATTCGAAACTGCTACAGTGCACACGGAATATAATAGCACGTGCTAAGAGAAAATAGCGAACTTCACGAGTGTTTTTTAGAAATGTTTCGCAAATCGAAGATGGCATTGGAGACAAGATGGGACTGTTGGCCAGAGGAGTTGCCACATTTGTTTCGTCCGTCGTCATCGCTTCTGTCTTTAGCTGGAGGATCACCCTGGTTTGCGTGAGCGTTGGCCCTGTGAGCGTCATAACAATGGCAATCATGTCACGAGTGAGAGGAGTTCCTTACTATTCCTTTCAAAACTAGTCATTTAACTGGAGACGAAATCAACTTTTTTACATACTATTAAAATCTTTGTTAGTCAAATTTCATGAATGCACAAGACTTCAAGAGACAAGAGCTCGGTAGTTGTGAGAAGGTCATATCGATGTTCCGATTCAATACGATTAAGGAGAAACTATTCCAGATTATATTCATAGCTCAATCACAACAACGAATTTCTAATGGCCTTCACATTTTTATAAACCCAGTTATAGATGTCGTCGTCGGCGGTGCAGGGAATGATGGCTGTTGCTGGTGAATCGGGAGCCATAGCTGAGGAAGCGATAATGAACGTGAAGACAGTTTCGGCATGTAATGGACAAAACCATATGGTCAAGGTCCGGAGTATACGTGTTGCAGAAATGTAAATGAAATAGCTGATGTAAAAGAAATGATTTGTGTAAGTGGCGATTCATTTCCAAACGGCGGATTCATTAGATTCTTCTGCTATATATTGCACTTGCAATTTTCAAAAAATGCTTAGCAACGATCTAAATTTGGCATATCACTCTACATTAGTTTATTAGTGATAACATATTTAAGAATACATATCAGAATTGAACATTGAGCTTTTTTGACGCTCTCACAAAACGGTATGAAAGAATGAAAGGGTGGGAGGTGTGGTTTGGCTTTAAATAATCTTGAAGGGTGAACAGTGGATTTTGATTCATAAAAATCTTAGAGGAATAGGAGTTCTGAATGCACGTCTGGTGTACTCAGTGATTGAAGGTGACAAAGATGTATTAAATCAGTTTTTCCGCCCTCTCATACAAATCCCTTCGGGATTCGAACACACAAAATTGAAGAGCTTCGTGAATTTTTAGTGAATTAACAAGAGCTTTGGAGTTTAACCGAGTATCATACATAACATTCTCATTTGTATAGCCAGTAAGTGTAAAACATCGTTCATAATGTTGTCTACAATTTTTTCTTGCTGTTTACTTCGACCAAAATTTACAAGAACAGAAACCTATTTTTTGAAAGAAAATCACGGTGTCTCCTCTATATGGCATTTTCCCTTAGAAAATGGCTTTTTAACGGGCCTGTTTTTACTCAACAATACCTTACAGAGGATTATTGAATGAAAAAGTGTCTTACCAACAGCTCCAGTATCAACTATGTGTTCTTGTTTAGAAATACCAGCAGCAGCTGAAGCGTGGTCGAGCGTTCGCAATTCGCTACGGCTTCATCAGTGGCTTCTTCGAAGGCTTCATGTTCTTTCAACTTTATATATTCTATGCTGCTGGCTTTCTGTATGTGAATGTGTTGAACACATTATGAAAACATTTTCTGAAAACTTAGATTATGATATTATCCACTTGAGTTCTACTTCCAATAAACTAGTTTCCACTTCTTTTAACTGGAAAAAAATATTGTAGATACGGAATACCGAGTTATTATCATGGAATAACACCAGAACCAGGAGCTGTCTTTATCTCATCATCGGCTGTACTGTTCGGTTAGCAGAATTTTTGGTCCAAATTTACAAAAAAATTGAGCAGGATGCTTTTTTCTGCCAGGTTCATACTTCTTTGGGTTGCTTGGTCCTCACATGATGGCGATTCAGAAGGCGAGAAAAGCAGCTGCGATCATTTACGAAACAATTGATACGGTAGGCAATTTATAACATCAGTTCTTTGTTTGCTTGCTTTATTTTTAGGTTAACACCTTTGATTTTGTGATAAATCTAACGTAGCAACACTGCTGATAAACGAAACCTTGCAAAGAGTAGGAATTTTGTAGTATAATAAAAAATATAGACATCACTAATTCTCATTAAGAATGGAGATGTAACTGAAGATGGCGAAGAAATGAATTCATGCGAGGGACGATTAGAGTTTAAAGATGTTCATTTCAAGTATCCTTCTAGGTAAATTTTTTTTGACACGAATTTGAAGTGTGATATATAAATCTATTATAGAGAGACTCCTGTGCTTCGTGGCTTGAGCTGGTTCGCAGAACCAGGAGAGACTGTCGCCTTTGTAGGAAAAAGTGGATGTGGAAAAAGCACAATTGTATGCCTTTTAAAAACTTCGGACACGTTATTTTGGATGTGTATAAAGTCAAGCAATAAGCGTCCAAATGCATATAAGAAACATTGGAAGTAGTAGTAATGAAATGGTAAAGATATGACGATAACACAACAATTACATGCTAGTACATAGTGAGTTGCTTGATCATAAGCTCAGCTGATAAGTGACGAGCAGGACTCGACCAGAGCAGCCGATGCTGCCATGCTTGCCAAAGGCTTGGACTACGAACGCGCCGAGTTGTGAGTTTAAGAAGAGGTAGGGGCTCGACGCTCAGAGGCTGAAAATGGTTGCCTGTTGCGAAAGACGAAAGTCGGTGTTGGTGTTGGAGGGCTGGTGAGAACGAAATTTGGGAAGTTCATGTTATGAAGCTTGCGCCGTACCATGACTTGTGACAGGGGCGTCCAATACTGGCCGTAGCGGAGGCAAAAAAGGAGAAGGAAGAGAGTTAATGAACAGAGACAGACCGCGCAATTGTGCAGGGTGTTGATACAGTAGTGCCGTAGACAGGTGAGTCATAAATACAGGTCTGAAAATTTCGGAGTCAAAAGGCAAGGAAGTTTTGCTGCTAATCATTTCGTTCCGTCGTCCTGTGGTTCATCAGAGTATTTGATTATGTGCGTGAAAACGTCCGTAAGATTTGTTTCTTATCGCAAAGTAAAAATCCAGCACATCATCAGCAGCTAAGAACAGGAGAATTATTTATCTTATATGTGTTCTCGTTTGAGACTGCCTGGAATGACTTCGTAGTCAGTTACAATATCTTCGTTTCTATAATTTCTTGCGATGAAACGAGCCGAGATGGATTGTCAAAGGAGAAATCGTGATGTTTCGGCTACCTCAACTTTATGCTTGACTTCAAATTTCACGTGAACCAGCGTAAAACGTGTGCGGCATTGATTTTTCTATATGTAAGACCGATATGGAATATCAACGGGGAATTCGTAATGTCTCGAACATCACATCATTACTTCACATCAGTAAAGAATATCTTCTTCTGTACTGGGGCTCAGAAATGTTACTAGATGACGGAGTGCTTAGTACGACGGGGGTTCATCTCGGGTGCCCCGCCAGACCGTAGACGATTGGCTGTTGGCAGATAACGCGTTGCAGCGTAAAAAGAGAGCTGCGCAAAACCAACGTCGGTAGTGCAACGGTTAGCATACACCCTCGGATAGAGTGTGATCTGAGTTCGAATCCCGGTTGCCGCAAAGCTTTTTACACAGCACTCCACATTATTGGGTATATTACAAGATCGTACCACAGCAACAAGCGGTCAAATAAATGAGTTCCAATTTGTCAATCTTAATGGATATCGAACTTTCACTTTGTCTTATTGAACGGTGTATTATAAGTGTACATATCCCTGATTGGAGTGTTGTCAAGATAAAAGTGCGTCTGTTCCCCAACTACTTGATCAACACATAATTATTTAGATTGGACTTTTGACACGACTCTATGACTGCGACAAAGGATCGATGTTTATTGATGGCCGCGATATTCGTACAATCGGTGTGGGCAATCTGAGAAGGGTGAGGGATGCCCATTTTATGGCCGTGTTAAACAAACTCTGTAATGACGATTTACAGATGATTGGTATCGTACAGCAGGAGCCATGCTTATTCAACGGCACCGTTCTCGAGAATATCGTCCTCGGTAGGCCAATCAGCAATGATCAGGCGAAGGATGCTGCTCGGATAGCCAATGCTCACGACTTTATCGTTAACTTGGAGAAGGTTTTTCATTGTTTTAGTTCAAAGCGAGTCGTCATTCAGTCGTACATTTTATAAAATGTAGGGGGAAAGTTCTGAGATAACGCTTCTAAAACATTTATTTATGCACCTATTACACCCGAACAAAGGTAAAATTACTAGTCAAAGTACTCCCCTTCAACTACAAGCACTTTTTGAAGCACCTGTACACCGCACTTTTGCCAACTGTGACTTCGTCCTAAGCCAGATTGATGTTTTCACTTGCCACCTTAGCATTTGAGCCCAACAGCTATTCGTGCATTATCAACAACCTAATTTGCTCGCTTGTTAACTCCATCTTGAAATAAGTAGACAAATTTATATCAACCAACGCGAGAGAAGACGGGCTTCTAGAAGAATGAGCCCAAAAACACAAAAAATAGCCAATACTCAAAAAAGTTATTAACTTCTTACTTAGAACACTTTTCCCAACCTATTATATGGTTTGACGATTGAGCCCATAGCACGAGTTCGAAAGAAATAAACCAATGACAAGGAATACATGATAGATTAATGCTGCCGAAGATAAAAGAAAGTTGGTTTTCAAATCATTATAACATAGATCCTTTCATCATTATTTGAGCCAACATGTCATGTGGTTGGTAAGGGCTCTTCTATAGCCCGTTACACGTGTTTCGCCCTTACAGACTCGTCAGTCGGGCAAAACCCGTCGTCTTTTGATCTTTTATTAATCAGTTCTCTCGGAAGCTTGCTCTCCACGCAGAGAGGTATCGAAGACGAACGTTTTACACTCTATCGATGATCGAAATTTGAGCGTGGTCTTGATAAAACACTCAAAAGAAAGGTTTAGTATGATAAAAATACCAGCCAAGAGAATCGAGTGTACAACACTCTGTGTAAGGTGAAAATCTCGCTTGACATAGAGTGTAAATCGTTCGTCTTCAATATCCCTCTGCAGGGAGGGCAGGCTCCCGAGAGAACTGGCTGATAAAATGATCGAAAGACGACATATTCTGCCCGACTGACGAGTCCGTAAGGACGAAACACGTGTATCGGGCCCTTACCAGACCACATGACATGTTTGCTCAAATAATAATGAAATTATCTATTGACACTTGAGCGTGATAAAACACTCGAAAAAACATTATAACATATTGTACACTTATACTATGAACACTAGAATACAATTCAAAACGGGCGTCGATAGTGCAACGGTTCAGCACGCGCCCCGGATAAGGTAAAATGTGGGTTCGCATCTCACCTGACGCAAATGTTTTCGCACATCACCCTTATCATTGAGTATATTATAACATCTTTCCACCACTAGAGGCAGTCAAATAAAATAAATTCTGACTGATTAATGATACACTGGAATACTTCTACTGTTCCTGGCTTGTTAGATCGATTACGCTATTCTAATATGACTGTTACTGCTGAGCTTGTCATTCAGCACAGCTTTTGAAGTACTCTTCAAAACAGACAATTCCGAATTGACTCGATCTCATTCCCAAGACTTTGATGCTCTTGGGGTTGGCCTTGATTATTGGTAAGACACTGTAATGACCCACCACACCTTACAGATTAGAAATACATTTCAACAGATCTGCGATGCTCAATGGAGGCCGATGTATTTCGTGCAATTCACAATCTAATCACTACTAAGCGTTCCATTTTTGGTGCTTTACTTCTTTACCACAATCTATCACAACGCCCCACTATCGAAAACTGTTCAAATCTTTTTTTTTTTTTGGAAGGAATATTATGCCACCAGGGAGAGGGACCATGATTGAGTGGTTGTAACTCGTCGCGGAGCGAGACACATCCTCATCCTCTACACCACATCCCGACAACAGCAAGGATGCCCTATGGAGGCCAGGCTATTCGCAAAACTGTAAGGGGATGTGCTTAACCAGCATACTACTACGATCGAGAAGAAGATGAAAAGCGAATCGAATTGGAAGTACTGGGATCTGCTCAGTGAAAAACAAAGACTGTGAGAGGGATCATGCAAAGTTTTGAATAATATTACCAAGCCAGCGAAGTAGAAACTTTGCACAAACTCAATCATATTATCACGTAGAACTTGAAATTGAAATCTATTGATTCAATCTATGTTTATGTAGCAGCCTTACAAGCACAAGCTTCACTCTTTAGGGCTACGATACAATAATTGGAACCGGTGGCGTTTCCTTATCAGGAGGTCAGAAACAGCGACTCGCCATCGCTCGTGCAGTGGCAGCTGAGCCAAAAATTCTTCTTCTTGACGAGGCAACCAGTGCGTTGGACTCAGAGAGTGAAAAGATCGTCCAGGTTTGCTGCGCAACTTTCATTGAAGCATTGTCAGCCATGTTGATAGATTTATAGAGGAAGGAAATAACCCTAGTAGAAATTTTAATCCCGTCGTAGTGGCAATTACGCACTATAAATAGTGGATCTCTGGGTAAGATCATAGGTCTTAAAATTTCATTATAAGCCATTATGTGCAGAAATGTGGTGTGGTATATCTAGTGCTAGACGTACGTTTCGGATTCCTAGCAAGCCTCATCAGTAGCACATGCCTATCGGTTTAACCCTTCTATTTTACTGTTTGAAACAGTATAACTAAGGGTAGCGGGGCTAAACATGTCCCACTGTAATCATTCCCTGCTACTAAATTACATTAAATTTAAGGCAAGATCTCAAAAAAAGTTTAACAGAAAAGTTATTACAATATGCGCTTAATGAGCTCTGAGCAATCGGCTGTAAATCATCGCAATGTCAAGTGATCTTTTCTCTTGACGTACAGTGATACAGGTTCGGTGCCAATACCCTTAGTTGTAGGGGAACGGTTAAACCGAAAGGCATATGCAACTGATGAAGCTTGATAAGAAATCGAAACGTACGCCTAGCCTTAGAAGTGCCATACTAGATCTGTGAAAAGCTCAAAATATGCTACCAGAATACATTGAATTTTGAGCTAGGTCTCAAAAACAGTCGAATACAAAGGTATTGCTTACAGCTGGCATTAAATAAGGCATCCCGAGGTCGGACAACTGTAGTGGTCGCTCATCGCTTGAGCACTTTGAAAGATGTTCAAAGGATCTATGCAATCGAGGGCGGCAAAGTTGTGGAAGAAGGTTAGTGATGCTGTATGACACCCGCAATATCGACTGTATATGCTAGTACGATTGAGTCAAGTGGTAAAACATACTTAGTAGTAATTTTACAGGTACGCATTTTGAATTATTGGAAAGAGGTGGTCTCTACAGCGGTTTGGCAAAAGCGCAAGAAATCGATGTTGCTGTAGGACTGCGTCAGCGAAGAACATCCGAAAGGCGCGATTCACTTTTGCAGTAAGTTCCCTAAAAAAAGAATGTTTGAGAAAACTTACTCAGCTAGAAAACCACACTGTATTAATTTTTTGTGTTGGGGTGTTTCTTCAGAATGATCAAAAATTAAGTTGCTCTTTTTTAGCAGCCCTACGTCTATTGCCACGTACGCCTTGCGAAGAAGTGGACTGGCCAGAAATTCTACGGCGTCGCTCATATATCCTCAAGCTCAATTAACTGATAGAAGATCACCATTTCCAAAGGTAGCTTGAAGTAGGGGATTTGAGTACAATGCCCTGGTGCGGTTGCGCCCAAGTGTTCGATTGTTGACGATCTGTGAGCACGACGGATTGCACTTTGATGTGTTGGTCAGTGGGCCGATGAATGTTTGCTATGCAAGAAGCGCTTTTGGCTTAGATGTACATGGACTCGAACGCACTTCAGTGCGCCGATCGACTTGATTGCCCCGCCACGCGGATCTTAGTCTTGGTGGATGATCTCGAGAGTAGAATAGTCCTATATGTGAATAATGCGACCGATATATAAACAGCAAAATGGACGATGAAGGTAATCCATATGAGCAATAACCTCAAAAATACACACATCACTAGGACTGCAACACAGTAACAGGATGTACATAATGACGGCGTATGATTATGTCACGATAATATAGAAATGATGACAGCGGAGTGATGGGTTCAACAGTGTATTGCGGGGCATGACTAAGCGGTGAACCCTGAGTAAGTCGTTCTGCCTGCCTCGGAAGGAAAAGAACACCATCGGTGAGAATAAGCGAGTAAATATGTCGCCATTGCTAAGGGCGAATAAATTATACATAAGACTGAATATCATTTCCCTCGGTGGCGGGTCAAACAAAGCGCATATGAGGTTGGCGTGCCACCGTCTTTTGAGTTCCATTCACTTTGCGATGAGCTTCATGAACGGCAGGAAATGATCAAGGAGCGAAAGTAAACAATTAACATTAATATCGTAATACCACAATAAAGGGAGAAACAACCATCCGCACGATGGGCGACTCGAGAAACTGATCGAATCTCAGCTTACCACCAAACTGCAGTATTCAAAAAATTTGTGCGGGACAACTCCATTCATATTCTGTGGAAAGGTAGCAAAGGACCATTCCATTCTATGGTTTCATAGATCCGTTTCTACATAGTTTGCTCATCAACT